GCGGTCATCCCCCAGAGGACCGGCTGGCATTTTTTCAAATTTGGGAACTAAATTCCTGCCATCAAAATGCATTTTAACTTGCTGTTTTACTTCGAATGTCATTCTGATCACGCCACAATGCATGAGGTGATCATTAGGAATTATTTAGGCCTTATCACGGGCGAGTGCAGAGGGGATTATCACGTCTCCGTCGAATTTACGCAGCAGAATTCTAAGCACCTGAATTTTATTTTCAAAACAGCCGGTGTTGTAGAATCATTGGCGATTTCAGTAGTTTTTCAGGGAAACGCCCGTTTGAGGGACACCGCCTTCTGATGGCCCCGCCCACCTTTGTAGAGTTACACATGTTTACACGTATATATTTACCTACATAAATATACACAGACATACACATACCTGTACCTTCACTGCATAACTCATCCATACAACCCCGTGCACCTAACAAACTCCGCCCACGACCCTAAATCGCAGTTTTTCGGACATCATTTGCTGGAATTCTAAACAGTTATTTTCAAGTGTAATCTGTTTAATATAACATACTTTTAATTCTGATAGCGTTCTGCCAACTTGCCTTAGAATAATTACCACCTCATGCCAGCGCTCAGGCCTGATGTTCTTCGAAAGCGAGCAATTTTGGTCCTGAGATGGAGCAGCCTAAATACAGTGCTCTGTGCTTTCTGTACCTAGTTGATTCGTAAATGCAAATTACGTCAATCCAGATAACTTCAGTACTATTGAAAAGCATAAGTGATATCGATTTTCAGGGCGTATGCCACTTATTTTGGGGTGTCCGACAGGAGGCCCGTCGCGCGGCAAGGAGGCAGAGTCAGTGGACGAATTGCGGCGCGTACTGTAGTGATTTCGCGTTTCGCGTCAAGTTAAATAAATGTCAGGATGTGCCAGTGTACTTCCTAAATTTCACAGCACGCGCTGCAACTCGTCCGCTGACCCTGCTTTCTTGCCACGCGACGGGACTCCTGACGGGTACCCCTTATTTTGCGGAGCAACACAAGTGGTGATGACCCCGAGAAAAAATATAGATATCCTGTGTTCTTTTGGTCTTGCTGTTTGTCTAATGCGATCTCTATGTTGCTAAGTCCGTATTTGCGACCCATCCATGCACGGGAAGTAAGGGAAACAGGGCTGGCCTCTCTATTAATACTCAACAGCCAGGTGTCAATAGCACTACCATTTTCAGCCCTCACTCGGATCCATTCGATTCACTGATGCAAGTGCTGAAGAAGCGTCAAAGTAATGGCGATGACTGTCACAATGCCAGTTTTGACGGTAATGTCTCTAAGGTGGGTCTCCCTGTTAGCAGATAGGCTCCACCCACCTAGGGGTGGGGCTTAGCATCAAAATCTCTATGAAATTCTCATTTAGTCATCGAAAAGAGATGAAGACAGCGATAGTTCGTGTTCAGTAGAAGTTGAGAGCGCTTTATCACCACAAATTGAGGCATTCGTCGACTACGTGGGCAGATTATCATTTGCAAAGGTATGGTATGTATATTGATAACAACGACGCGAGTGTATGCGTTGCGGCACTTGAAAAGTGCTGCCAAAATTACGGCAAAAGTGCAAACAAAATAAGGCAGCCTTCACGGAGAGTCTTTTTTATCGATTAGTGCGCTGACGGCCATTTTCTTTGCAACATTCAACGGAGCTCAAAGGAATCTTCCACGGAAAGACTGCTCATCCCTCCCTTGTGTACAGGTGTTGAGCATGTCGTTGAAGACCATGTGCAAAGTTCAGAGCGAAAATAATGGAACCCCCACGCGGAACAGCCCTTGGAAAGACCCATCTGTGGGACCGGATTGGACCAGTAGGCGGGACCGGAAGTGCTTCTGTGACGACGTGCGTGGCAGGTGCGGATCCACGTGTCAGTTTATGGGAAGGGTCCAACATGAATCCAGTTCACGTTCACGTTTTTGACACGTGTGCACGTGTTGGCTCCACGCCGCTAACAGTTGTGGATGTTTTACAGCGGTATTCAAAATTTTCATAGTCGAACTGGTTATCATAATTATTACCAAAACCATCGCTCATGTTCCGTTCTTTTCGCAATCTTCACGAAGCAAGAGGTCTAAGGTATCGCTTTTTTGTAGGAATGGAGGCGATGTTTTCCCGTGGAAGGCATTGTTCATAGTTTGCGCCACGAGAGGAGGACGCTCGAACCGAACGAATCTGCGCAAATGCGAAATGAATGAAGTGCGTATCGATCCACAAAATGGGAGGAGCTTCGAATCGCGCATTGGAATCTGCGAATCCTCAGGAATGAGTGTCTATCGATCAGTCAATCGGAGATCGTCGCATCGAAACGGCGGTGCGAAAATCCTCCAGCAACGCTAATTGGGCGTGGTTTACTACGTCGATACTTATCTAAAGCGTTTCGCATCCGCGTTCGCACTCACCTGGTCGATACGTATCTTAAAACCCATGATATCGCTTTTTTGTAAGCATAGAGGCGACGTTTTTCCGTGGAAGATTCCTTTAATGACGCAGCGCGACCGCAAGCGATGACACTTATCGTTCACCTCCCTACAGCCTCTGCCGGTGCCCCGTCGCTCTTATTCATCAACCGTCCATTTTCTCACTTTCTGTCTCGCTGTTCTTTTTTACTTGTGCTTTTATTCGGCACTCCTGCTTTCGGATTCAGGAAATACCTTGGGTGCGTTCGGCGGCGCTATCCACCATATCAGCTCCACTCCATCGTGAACCACGAAGGAGGGTATGACGCGTCTAGACCTTTTATTCCCTTTTCGGCCGCTTTTCTGCGTGGTGACTCTTTGTTATGAAATAATTCCCTATTGAAGTTAAAATACTAAAAATGGATATTGCTAGCTCTCCCATGACTTTCGTTTGTTGAGACCGCAATATAAAATCTTATGAAAGGATAAAAGGATAAAGCTTTTGCCGTTGATCGATCCCTCTTTGGGATGCGGCACGCATTCTACTGCCATTAGTACATTCGTAGTGGCGTTTGAATGCGATGTGGCCTATACAATGATTTGCGGGGGCCAGCCGATGTACAAGTCAGTGTTTTTATCCTCCCAGACGAGTCCGGTACCAATTTACCGACCCCGGAGGGATGGACGGCTTGGTTGGCCCGGGCGACTCACGACCGAGGATTTGATCCCCGGACCGCTTGCGTGCCAATTGCCACTACACCACTTTCGCCCCTATAGAATCTTATACATTTCTCAATGTACGTGGGTTTCAGGACGAACTTCACTCACTTCTGACAGTGTGTCACAGTGTGTTCGGCTACTTTGAGGACAGACCATCTCTGATGGCCGAGTTGTCGTTGACGACACCCACATTGGAGCCGTCACAACCGCAACTGCTCCGGGATGTGTTCTTCGTTGCTGAACACGCTGAACGAATCAACGCTTATATTCGTGCCACGCCCGATATGGCGCTGTTACCGATCTCTGACGCTCAGTCCCAGACATTGACCGAACTCGTCCGACTTGTACGGAAAATCTAATCAATAAACTACATTTCGCTATGCGATAACTGTAGCATATTTTGCTACCGTAAACTAATATGTATATGTACAGATGTCCGATAGTGCTAGCTTTAGGTAGTATTGAATGTTACGTCAATAATTTGTGTGTATGTTTTTATTGTTCACGACGGCTTAATCTGTCTTTAAAGATTGCGAGTGCGATGGGTAGGAGGCGGAGCTAATTTGGAGCAATGTTGGACGATTGTTGGACCAATTTCCAAATTAGGCCGATGTCAGACTTTGCGAATCGCGCATTCGCTACTAGCGATTCGCGCGATTTGCTAGCGGTTGCGGTCGCGTTGCGGTACCAGCCAATTAAGTGATTCACTGGCCGCGACGCGCGATTCGCGAAGTCTGACATCGGCTTTGGCTCTACCTCCCAGCGATCGCGTTGAACGCCTTTCAACTTAAGGACTCTTCCAACATAGCAGCAAATGTCAGTCAGCAGTCGTCGCCTCCGTCATCTTTAGGATCCGCTCGTCGTTTGTTTCATGCGTTCAGCTTTACATCAATCCCATTATCCCACCATCAACTCTCCGCCCCCTTGACTAATAGTAATAGTTTGTTCTTGTGCCGCATCATGTTGTAGTAGTCTCCTCGACATAGATATACAAGCCAGTCCATTACCATCCACGTCTTCTTGCCTTTCTCTCATTTGACCACCTCTATCGGTTAATTACTTAATTACTTGAACTAGTACTGATTTTTTTTGTCAGAATAAATAATTAATCATGATGCATGTCTTCAATTCTGATGAAACTTCACTGCAATTGTGTGCTATAGCGATAATTGGTATTAGGGTTCATGATTTACCACTTCGGCTCGTGCATGACACGAAAGAGCCCTCTAAAACTGGACAGCCAGAGGAGGTTTATCTTTCGCCGCTAAACAATAAGACGCTCCGTAAAATGCGTTAGGCCGATGTCATAGTTTGCGAATCGAGCGATTCGCTAGCGAATAAGCTCGATCCGAGCGGTTCGTCAGCGAATCGAACGATTCACCGCGGGATCGAAACTTTGCGCCAGCATCGAACGATTACTCCACGAGTCGAACTAAGTACCAGCGAGTCGAACTAGGTACCAGCGACGCAATAGTGGCGGGACCAAACTTTTAAAGGAAGCCCGCCACCTTCAAACAGTGTCAGGTGAGAGTGGACGCTGTTTGAAAGAGGCGGGACTTTGCAACGGACACTGTTCGAAAGTGGCGGGCTTCCTTTAAACGTTGGGTAAACCCGCCACTATTGAGTCGCTGGTACCTAGTTCGACTCGCTGGTACTTAGTTCGATTCGCTGGTGCAACGTTCGATTCGCTGACGCAACGCTCAGATTCGCTCGATTCGCAAACTATGACATCGGCCTTAGCTGGCCATTCCATTGTTTTTTTTTCCATTCTGTCACCCGCCAAATATATTCCAGTCCCACCTCCTATACAATATGTTGGGGCCACCACATTACAGTTGCTGGGACGCATGCAGTGTATTGCGTAACATCTGCATTCTAACGCTCCTTATCAGCCCTTATCAGTTGTAATCACTTTCGGTACCTCACCAAATATGTTCCCGTCCCACCCCCTATATCATACGTTGAAATCAACTCCTGACAACTACTGATACCCGCGCTATGAGTTTCGCGACACACAGACGGACGTGCACACACGCACACATACACACATACTTAGCGAATTATGTATAGTAGGGATCGCCTACTCGCCTACTCGCCTAATCGGCTCACCGATAAATATACTTTTCTTTTTGAATCATAGTTTAATCGCTCAATCGCCTAATCGCACGTGCGATCGCCAACTATGAACGCTCAGTGCGGCCTTGCAAATTAAGCTGCAGCAGCTGCAAATTGTCCCTTCGTCAGGCTGTGAACTGGTGCCTTCTCATCTCTTGCCTCTCTCACCTCCTAGCCTTAAAACGATGTTAGCATACTATACAGACAGACAAATACATACACTTGTTCAGAGGGCAAAAACTAGAGATGTACAATGGCTGACCTTCACAAGTCATTGTAGAGTACATTGCTTTCAACTTGAAAACTGCATGACGATACAGAATGAAAGTGGAATTTATAGCGCATCCTAGGAAGGGATCAATCAATACGTATGCTTTATTTTTTATTCTCTTTCTATTGAAATCGAGGGAAGGAATTTTGCAGTACGAGGAAGCTCTTTGAGTATTGCGGCAGTTATCTCGTTAAGCGAGGTGGAAGGGGATCTCCATTCGGAAAACCCAACACATTTCAAACACTTTCCTATACCGTACTCGTTCACAGATACTTATACGATCCGTATTTATAAAGAAATATGTACATTTCAAAATCTAAATGTGACCTAACTTTGAATAGAAATCATCTTGTAATAAGTAGGGTAAAATCTAGGTTCCCCGCCACTTTGCCTTTTCCATAGAGCTTCAAGGATGAAGGCGCGAGTCGGCGTGTGAGATATGTGGAGTGTAGGACATCCACCACTTTTTATCCAAGTACACTTCAAATTAGTCGTTCACTATTATATTATCCTTAGTTTTAGAGAGCTCAATGGAGTACTCTCTAGGAATGATAAGATACACAGGAGTGCCCCTTCCCCCAGAGGGGATCTTCACCTCCGGTGAATTATTCTGTCCTAAAATTGGACAAGTGGCGTAGTGGCAAGTGGCACGGTCACCACACGAACGAGCCGGGGATCAAATGCTGGGTCGTGAGTCGCCCGGGCCAACCAAGCCCTCCATTAGTTGCAATTGGTACCAGGCTCGTCTGGGAGGATAAAAACACTGATTTGACACGGCTGGCCCCACAAGTTATTCTATAGGCCACATCGCATTCAAACGCCACTACGAATGTACACCGCGGCAGCACACCACACAAGGCTTAGATCTATTGCTCCGCACTTCTGAGTGGCGACTATGTTGCGCCTCCTGTGTTTAGGCTCCTCCTTCTGACTCAGGGGGGGGGGTGACTGATTCTTGGCACCTAATTCCGATCGTGTCCTCGAAATAACAACCTCAGATCGATTTGGTGAGCTGAAAGCGGCTGATGATGAGATGGATGCAGAGTTGACTGCAAATGGAAGGAAACAGAGAAAAGTGCTGACGAAAGAGGCGGTGTGACCGGACCAGGTGTCCAATCAGGGTCAACTGTCCGTTGGACAAAGTCCAACGCGACGACGAGAGTAGTGCCGGGAGTGAACGTACGCACGGAGACACAGACGGCTCGCGAGTGGCGAAAATGAATGCCGGCGCGGAGAGCGGTCAACATCGGTCCAACGTCGCTCCAGTATCGGTCCAACGTAGCGGTTGACCCTGTGTTCAATTCACCTTGCTTCGCCGGCATTTATTGCTGGCTCGTGCCAGCAGGAAATGCTCTCCGATCTCATATACCAATGCAAACAAAGATATACGGTAATTAAAAAAATTTAAGCAGGTAGAATCAACAAAAAACCGGCAGAATTTCCTCCAACGCGCTGTATTTTACACGCCACCAATCGCGCGATCTTCACTGCTAGCAAGTGGGTGGACCCGACTAATGGCAGATGTGACAAGTTGACCCAAATCTCTCATCAATGGCTTTCCAAGCTGGTTTTGCTCAGAAGACCTTTGATCAGTTTTCGGCTAGTGCTCATTCATGTTGTCACTCCATTAGTAGCCAAAATATGAACTGCTTTGGGGATCTTGCTTTGAAGGAAGCGATTACGATAAAGAGCATCGGGAAAGCATATGCATATGAAGCAGCTACTTGGCTGCCATGGAGGTGAAGTGTGGGGCTTGCACAACGAGCCAAGCGCTGGTTGCTGAGCGTAAGGCCAGGAGAGGAGAGAAACGCCGCGAGAACAAAAATGGTTCAACTTCTCCAGTATCTATCCCCCTCTCCAAGGGCGGTATCAGACTTTGCGATTCGCTAGCCATCCTCTCGATTCGCAAAGTCGGACCCCGACCTAAGGCTCAGTCCCAAGCACTGTAAGTGCTTCGCTCACTTGCATGTCTCCCCCCCCCCCAACGACATGAGCGCTGTTTTTCTACACCTTGATTTATTCATTAAGATTGTTTGCTATTCAAAATGCATTGGACTCCCCCCGAGATGTTCCCTCCCGCTAACGACACTGGCGATATTCGTTCAGAATCATCTGTCACTCAGGAGGGTAATAGAACGAAGAAAAGATAGCAAAAATCTTATAACTGGATGTTGCACAGGTTTTTGGTGAGCTTTGACGGCGTTCATGGCCTTGCGGGGACATGCAAGACGTGGCATTCAAAAAGCCTATGACTTTTGCTGCTACTATTTGGCCCACAAAGGGGAGAAACGCCAGGGAGAAGAGAATTTGCTCGCGTCCTCCCCAAAACCCCTTCTCTTTCCCTAAGGCTTGATCCCAAGTACTGCAAGGGGCTCACACTTCAATGTACCTCCCCTTCCCCTGATCCATCCCCCTAACCAGCACTGTTCTGGGACCTTTGGGTGTTTTGAAGTTTCGACCAACTATAGAAAATTCCCTAAGGCTTAATTCCAAGTACTGTAAGAGCTCACATCACTGTGCCCCCCCCCTCCCCTACTTCATCCCCCTAACCAGCACTGGGCACTCATGTCCTTGGGGGGGCATCAACAACAAGGCCGATGGCAGTTGACACTGGGACTAAGCCCAGGAGAGGGGAGAAGGGCCAGGGAGCACACATATTGCTTGCATCCTCCCACAAAATCATTTCCCCTGCCTATGGCCAAGTCCCAAGTACAGTAATTGGCTCACTCACTGGGATGCCCCCCCCCCAAGGACATGAGCGCCCCAGCACTGTTTTGGGAATTTTGGGTCTTTTGAAGTTTACCAACTATAGAAAATTTCGCGCCATTGCTAGACATCCACAACATAACCGCTTAATTGTTTTCAATCGCTTTTCATGAGAGCTTCACAAACAGCTTTCTGTGATCTCCCTAAATGTTATCATTATTTACTATCACGACTATATAAACCCGAAGATCATCAAGTGTGGTTCAT